AAAAGATATTGAAGATATTTACCAATGATACATCTGATAAGGGGTTAATATCTAAAATTTAAAAGAACTCATACAACTCAACACCAAAAAAAACAAACAACCCAATTAAAAAACAGGGCAGAGGACTTGGATAGACACTTCTTCAAAGAGGACATACACCTCATCAGTAGATATATGAAAAAATGCTCAATGTCATTAATCATCAGAGAAATGCAAACTAAAAACCACAATGAGATATTGCCTAACACCTATCAGAATGACCATCTTCAATAAATCAACAAACAACATATGTTGGTAAGGATGTGAAGAAAAGGAAACCCTTTTCCTTTGGTGGGAATATAGACTGGTACAGCCAGCATGGAAAATAGTATAGAGTTTCCTCAAAAATTAAAAACGGAACTGATTTGTAACCCAGTGATTCTATTTCTGGGTATATATCCAAAATACTAATTCAAAAGGATATATGCACTCCCATGTTCACTGCAGCATTATCCAAATAAATAAAGAACAATAATTAAAAAAAATGCATATGCATCTATATGTTAAACTTAAGTATTATTTATAATAGTGAAGATATGGAAGCAACCTAACTATCCATCAATAGACAAATGAATAAAAAAGAGGTAGTATACAGGGTCTGGCACAAATAATGCCCTCTTTTTATAACAAAATCATAAGCATGTAATTCTGTAACATAACAATATCACACTCAAGCACACCATATGACATTTAAGGTGAAATGTTCAAATGAAAACTATAAATTATTATATCGATGTTATTACCCTACCAACCACATTCAAGCAGGTATTACTTCTGCTGGACCCCATATATAATGTATATAATAGAATATCACTCAGCCATTAAGAAAAGTGAAATCTTAACCATTTGCAACAGCATGGATGGACCTAGAGGATATTGTGCTCAGTGAAATAAGTCAGATAAAGACAAATGCCATATGATTTCACAGATATGTAGAATCTAAAAGGACAGTAGGTGATATAGTCAATAAAATTGTATCAGAAATAATTATGTATGGTGTCAGATGGGTACTAAACTTATCAGAACGATCACTTCTTAAATTATATATATGTCTAATCACTATGTTGTATAACTGAAACTAATATGTCAACTGTAATTGAAAAATTTAAAAAATTATTGTATTAAATAATAAAGCCTAGCAAATAAATAAAAAATAGAAAAACTGATGAATTTGATGATAGATCATTAGTTATGTGCTGTAAAGCAGAAGAGACAAAGGTAAATGAACAGACAAAGACTTCATGACACCATGAAGAAACACTTAAGGGAATACTTCAGACTGAATGAAAATGACACTAGATGTTCATTTTAACTGAAATGAAGAAATAAATAGCACCAGGAGAGGTAATTCCATAGTTAAATATAAAAGACTATAGAATATTTTCTTCTCTTCTACTCTTATTTAAAAGACAACTGCATAAAATAATTATTAAAAAAATTATAGGGCTTAGAACTTACAAAGAATTTACAAATGTGTATGATAATGATAGCACAAAAAAGGAAGGATGAAATTAGAGTTCTACTGGAGGAAAATTTCTATATTTTGTTGATTTGTTAGTATTAATGTGAAATATAAGAGGTCTGTCCAGAAAAAGTCCAGCCATTGTTAATGGAATGAGAAGAGTTCGTGCAACATTGATGTAACCTGGCAACCAAGGAGCGTGGACTGGAATGCAGGTGTGAACAATGATAACTTCACCATGCTAGTCAGTGGGGATGGTAGATGCTGTTGAGTGAGCATGTGTACCGTGTGGCCATCACATTCAAAATGACTGAGCAAGTAGAGCAACAAATCTACATCAAATTTTGTGTTAAGCTTGAACATTGGTGATTGGCAGCTTCATCATGACAATGTGCCCGTTTATGCATCATTCCTCATGCAGAGTTTTTGGCAAAGCATCAAATCGCCTAGGTGACTCAGCCCCATTACAGCCAGCTTTGGCACCCTGTGACTCCTGGCTTTTCCCAAAACTAAAATCACCTTTGAAAGGGAAGAGATTTCAGACCATTGATGAGGTTCAGGAAAATACAACAGGGTGGCTGGTGGCAACTGGTAGAACTGTGTGAGGTCCCACGGTGCCTACTTTGAAGGGGACTGAGGCGTTATTGTTCTATGGACAGTGTTTCTTTTATCTTCTTCAGTAAATGTCTCTATTTTTCATATAACTTGGCTGGATACCTTCTGGACAGACCTCATATTGTTATAAATAGAGATGTACATTGTAATCCCTACATTACACTTAGAGCAACCACTTAGGAAATAACTCAAAAATAATTTCAAAAAACAGTAAAGCAATAATAAAAATGATAACCCAATGAAAAGTGGGTAAAGGATCTGGATATACATTTCTCCTAAGACTACATACAAGCTGCTAGAAGACACATGAAAAGATATTTAATATCATTTGTCATCAGGATATACATATCAAAAGCACAATAGGATACCACTTCACACTTGTTAGAATGGCTATAATCAAAAACAATAACAACTGTTGATAAGGATGTGGAGAAACTGGAATCCTCATACACTACTGGGTGGACATAAAATTATATAATTGCTTTGAAAAACAGTTTGGCAGTTTCTCAAAAAGTTCAAATACAGGCTTATCATATGAGCCGGCAATTATACTCCTGGGCATATACACAAAAGAAATAAATACTTGTGTCCACATAAAAAATTATACATGAATTTTATACAGCTTTATCCCGAATACCCAGTAAACTGGAAACAGCCCAAATGTCCATCAACTGATAAAGGGACAAATGAACTGTGGTATATATATTTGCATATATATAAATATATATATATAATTGGGTATATGCAATGTAATATTCTGCAATATAAATAATTGAAGTATTAATACATGTTACAACATGAATGAACCTTGAAAACATTATGCTAAGTAAAAAACAGTCACAGAGACTACATATTGTATGAATACAAGTATATGAAATATCCAGAAGAAGCAAATCAATAGAGGAAGAAAGTAGATTAGTGTTTGCCTCAGGCAGAAAGGATTGGAGGGAAATAGGATTGCTACTGGGCGCAGAATTCCTTTTTTGGGATGATGGCAATGTTCTAAAATTGATTGTAATAATGGTTGAATAATTCTGTTTATACAGTTAAAAATTTTTAACTGTACACTTTTTTGAAAAATACTATAAAAATTGTATTGAAAATAAAGTTTTTAATTTAAGAAAATTACATAACAATTGAAAAGGCACACTAGAAAATATTTAACATAAAAGAAGGCAGTAAAGGAAGGATAAAAGAACTAGAGGCACACAACCATAAAAAACTATAGCAAAATTGCTGATATAACTCAACCTTATCAGTAATTATATTAAAGATAAATGTATTAAATACTCCAAAGGCAGAGGTTGTTAGATTGGATAAATAGATAAAATCCAATTATATGTTGTCTACAATAGGTATACTCTAGATTCAAAATCTCAAATAGGTTGAAAATAAAAGAATGAAGAAAGATAGACTATGCAAACATAACATAAAAGAGTTGGAATGGCTATATTAGAGAAAATAGGTTTTAATCTCTCTTTGATTTCAATCAGTCTGGAAACCTTCCTTGTAGATTCTACTATCACAGCAATTAAGGCCAAGGAATAGGGGTACAAAGCTAATAAATGGCCAAAGGTATCACACACAGACCCTGGGATTCCCTAAAGGAAAGGGAAGAATTAGGAGTATTTAGGATTCTGGTTCCTTATATTGGGGGTGACTGCTGACAAAGACTAGGTAGAAGCTACTACCAATAAAACATGACTCACACTGACAAAGATTCTCCCCTTGACCAAACTCTAATCAGGCTCCTCTGAGCTCTTTCTCAACTATGTTGTAACATTTGGGCTTCTGTGTTCATCTTTGCGTTGGTCAATTTTATTAAGAATCCTGCTACTCAAGTCTTAGGAAAGAAGAACATTCTACTCTTTACTACAGCATGGACAGACCTGGAGAACATTACTAAGTGAAATAAGCCAGCCAGAGAAAGACAAATACCATATGATTTCACTCATATGTGGAATCTAATGAACAAGCTTGAACTAACAAGCAAAATAGAGACAGACTCAGAGATAGAGGGCAGGCTGACAGCTCTGAGGTGGGGGTGGGGTTTTAGGGAATGGAGGGACCAAGCAAAAAAGAAAAAAGGACTCATAGACAACAGTGTGGTGATCGGGGTGGGGGGAATATAAATGGTAATGGAAAAATACGATAAAAAATAATTCTAAAAAAAGCTTAAAAAGGGAGAAGTAAAGACAGTTAGCTTCCAGTTAAATGGAAAAGGAAAGGAAAATATTTTAGATGAATAGACTCAAAATCCCTGAGAAATTTCCTTTGTCATAAGTCTAAAACATAAATGTTTAATTAACTTATAAAGTAAATGTAAAATTTAAATGATAGGTATGACAGTTTTAAAAACAAAAATGTAAGTTTCAAATTTGATTGAAACCTAATAATTTCAGAAGATGCTAAACTGCTGAATTCTAATAGAGGTATACTGTACCAATATAAAAAATAAAGAGTCCTGCTGATTCAGTTTATCAAGAATCCCCAGCCTCAATATCTGATCACCCTCAATATTTGATCAGGTTCCTCATCTTCATCCATCCTCCAGATGATGCCTAATCTCTCTGACCTGCCCTTGGCAAAAATCCTGTTAGGTTGGTTTAGCTGGAAACTCCTTTACCCCTGATGGTTTCTCTTAGTAATTTTCCATCCACTGACCCCTACCCTGCTCCTTAGCTATAAATCCTGACTTTTCCTGCTGTATTCGGAGTTAAGCCTCTCCCTTACTACAAAACTCCACTGAAGTAAGCCCTCTTGAATCAAGTCTGCCTTATCATCTTTAACAAGGGTTATAATTTTTTTCTTAACAACATTGATGTGGGGTCTTCTTAATTCACTCACATATTTTTGTTTTCACACATAATAAAAGTTATCTTACCGCTGCTAATCTTTGAGCATCGTATTCTGCTGCTGAAAAATATTTTCCTGGAGTTACCATCTTATCAGTTATATTTGATACATATACACCAATTTTAGTCATCTGTGTGGATGTTGTATTTATAGTTTGTTGAAGTTTCTTTTTCTGAAAAACTGTCTAAAATAAAAATATAAAAATTTTAAATATCTACCCTGTACACATATACATAAGAGCACATTTTCCTACATATTTTTCTTTTTATACTTTAATTGTCATATAATTCCTTAGAAGATTTTTATTTTGGAGCATAACATTTGTTGATTCTGTAACTTCAAACACCGATAGAAAAAAATAAACATATTACCTGGGTATCCCTACAAAATACATTGTATTTTTCAGGAATCTTTTTAGGTATAGTTTGTGTTCCAGCATTGTGATATTCTATTCCTGTTATTTTATGTCTGAATCCACCAAGAAATGGTTTGTGAAAATCAGATTTTACAATCTCAACAGCTACCTGTTGGTACTGATCAATGCCTGAGGAGATAAAACCAAGACTGAATGGAAGTTCAACTATAAAACGACTCTAAAACACTTTACCTAAAAGACATCAAGTAACTAACCAGTTTGTACTCTGACAGTTAGGACTTGAGAGGCATCACTTGACCTATTTATTCTTTTGATTGGATATAAATCTGGAAGTGTAGAAAAGATTTCCACTTGTACAGTATCCTGTGGCTTAACTCCATGTTGTAGTAGAGTCTCATTATTTTTAAGAATCTTTCCTAAAAATGAGGTAAAATTATAAGAAGTGTTATGACAAAGAAATGACTATATGTACTCACTTTAAGGGGATGAAAATATCAAAGATTGTTAGATAAACATGTTTAATTACTAAAATATTGATTAGTATCAAATATTAATGGTGTCCACCTCTTACTATAATGTTAGTACAGAAAACTCCAGTGTGAAAAGTTAAGGCGATACTCCTGAGCAAGAATTCAACATTATAAGCAAAGTTAAAACTCTCAATTCATCAGAAATGCAAATAAATAATAACCATGCAACTCTGTAAACATTTAAAAATTAAAAAACCTATTCTATAAGAGCAGCAAAATCATATTCTAAATACTGACTCCCTAAAAAATGAGTGTGTTATATGTAAAACAGGATGTATCATATCAGGGAAAACTTGATTACTTTACTTTAATACTCACCTTTCTCTCCAGCAGAAAAGTTTATAGTCAGAATTCCAAAGAATCCCTTCCTTTCTCTGTTTTTATAACCAGAAATTCACATAAATTAATGTCAAGGTGTAGTTAAGTCTCAGTTTTGTGCTTGAAAAACCAACATCACTTTATGTTGTACTGCTTCAACTTCTACTCCCTCCCCATTAGTTTAGTCTATAAATTTACTCTATTTTTATTCCTCTATTTTAAGGCATATAAAAATATGTGTAATGTTACTGGTTGCTGTTTTGTATTATGAAAACTTTATTGATAGAACCCATATCAATTTTCCATCATATGGTCTTCCTAATTATAATTAATAATTGGAGCATGGCAAAGATTTTGTTATGTTCATTCTTAGAAATATATCAGATACCACTAGCCTTTTTTAATGTTTGATGATTACCAACATTTTCAAAATTGTTCAAAATTTTTTCAAAATTTTTTATTTTTTCAATTACAGTTTACATTCAATATTATTTTGTATTAGTTTCACGTGTACAGAGCATAGTGGTTAGCAAATCACATACTTTACAAAGTGTTCCCCCTAATATTTCCAGTACCCACCTGGCACTATACATAGTTTGAGAAAACACAAAATTCTTTGAATTTTAGTATCTCATCCTAAATTCTTAATTTAAAAAATTAACATGTATTTTTATGGGTTTTGCAATAGGTCAAAATAATGGTTCCAAAATATATTCATGTCCTAATCCCCAGAACCTAGGGATGCTACTGTATGTGACAAAAGTGGCTGCGGATTTTATTAAGGATTTTAAAATGGAGGGAGTATCCTGGATTATCACAGTGCTCTTATAAGAGAAAGGGAGAGGGAGATTTGACTACAGAGGCAAAGACGATATGACAGAGGAGAAAGACTTGAAGCTGCGATGCTGCTGGCCTTGATGATGAAGGAATGGGCCATGAGCAATGAATGCAGGGAATGCAACACTAGAAGCTGGAACAGGCAAGGAAGCAGATTCTTTCCAGAACTCTCAGAAGGAAAACAGCCCTGCTGATAATTTGGCTTTGTCTGAGTGAAAATGAGTTAGGATTTCTGCCCTTCAGAACTGTAAGAGAAATAAAGTGTTGCTTTAAACTCCTAAACTTGTGGTTAACTGTTACAACAGCCATAGGAACCTAATATGGACTCCAAAAACCCTCTTCATTCCTCTTCTTGTTTCTGTCGCAGGCTTAGTCCCACCAAACATAAATTCCAGTTCTAGTTCCAGAGGAAATTACCTATCTTAGAGGGGGGTTTGGTTGACATAGAATCAGCTCTTTATTATTGCTACTGACGTAAGCCTGTTACCCAGTGGTGATGTCGAATATCTACACATAAAAAAAGACAGATGATGAAGCACAAAGATCCTTAGATACCCGTGGCCAACCACTCCAGCTTCCAAGTGCTCTCCTCCAGTTTTGAACTTTGCCTTATACTTAATAACACACAGTTTCAAATTCCCTTTTTGGAAGTATGTCTATATTTAAGTTCAGACTCTGACACTTATTACCTGTGTGAATTTGCACAAGTTCCCTGAGCTTTAGTTTTCCCCTCTCAAAAAGAATTCCTAATAAAGGATTGTTGTGTGGATTGAATGATAATATGATAACACAGGCAGAACATTTTGTAAAAGGACTATCACATAGTAAACCTCAATTCATCATCAACACAATCATGACCATCATCAGTATCACTATTACTACTTAAATGTAAGCTTTGTTTCCCAACCAAGCTTTAATAACCAGTTGTTTAAGTATACCAACATTACACTAAATATTACACTATTAGAGCATGTTCATTGGAATAGTGTCGGAAAAACCAGTGTGGAACTGAACTGATTGTCTTTCTCTGATTTGGCAAGGCGGAACTTGATAGGTATAACTTACTACTTTATAGTTCTTAGGGTTTTTCCACAAGAAAGTGTTATTGTGGCAAATTTATAAGTTAATACCAAAACTTTCTAAGCTAAAACATTAGAATTTGTGCAGACATATCTACAATAACATTAATTTAACTATGTTAGCCTAATTAACTACATCAGAAAGACTACATCCTCTCCTGACACAAAGTTAATGTAAAGTGGGTTGCTCAATATTGCGAACAAAATATAAATAAACATGAACACCCTGGGACTACAAATTGGCCTTAATGTATAGAAGACAGATAGAGAAACCATTTTCAGTCCTCTTCTTATTCTATACACATTCATTCATCCTCTATTTTTTTCATCTTCACCTCCTCCCACTCTCCAGTCACACTAAACATCTTACCACTTCCCAAAAGTCCTAGTGTTTTCCTCACCTCTTTGGGGCTTAGCACAAGTATTACCATTTTTATTAAAGGAAACTTCTAGATTTTCTCAGTTTCTTTCCTCCCTGTACTCACAGATTTTTGTGCATATCTCCATTAAAACATTTACACATTATATGGTAACTACTGCATGCATCTTCCTTACTAGTCCATAAACAACTTGAGAACAGGAATTTTGTTTCAGGTTTCTTGATATATTCAGTTCTTAGTAAAGTATTAAGAACAAAGTATGTCGTCAATAAAAATGTGTTGAATGAATATATAACCATAATACAATGTTCAAACAGTAAGTATCAAGATAGGTAGTTTAACAAACAAAATATCTTAATATTTACATGTAAAAAAAATCATTAACACTAAAGAAGTCGTGGTAAATTTTATTAGCATCCAAGCTTACCTGCACATCTTAGCTGCAGTACATCAGATGGCACATTTACTAAGTAAGAAAAATGATCCCTGAGGTATTTAAAATTGCTGTCAATTTTAAAAGGCATTATAATTTCCTGGCCCACAGGAAGAAGTACAACCTTTACTGTAGATTAAAAAAAAGAAAAGAAAAGAAAGAATCATAGTCAAATGCAAGGGTCAGCAACCTACAGTCTATAAGCAAACAGAAAATTATGGAACAATTTTTTACCACATAGATGCAGTTGTGTCTGCCATACTCCTCCACTGCACAGCTATAAGAAGAGTAACTTTACATTTTCTAAGAGGATAGTGACAAACATTCAATTGTAACCTTTTGCTTTGAAAATCAATTTAGAATCTTAAAAATTAGCATCACTTATGAACAACTGTTCCCTTAATGCCAGCTCAAAGTTCAGATCTCTCTTCCATTCCCTAACATGAGGATCAGTGTACAATCAGGATTCTTTCCTTGCTCAGAATATCACAAGAAACAGAAAATCAAACTAAACTGCTTTGAAAAATTCCCAATATCTGCTAGATATCACTCAGATACAAACATAAAAAAAATCTCAGAAAATTAAGCATTTTTGTGTAGTATTAGAAAGAGACTCTCAGACCTAGGGGGTGTCCTAATGCTTTGATTAGATATTGATATCATACATCACTAAATCAGTCATATTTGTATAATTAAGAAAAACTAATACATTTTCAAAGAAAATTTTCTTTGACCTTGCAACTACAAAAGATATCTCTTACTAAGTCCATTCTTCTTCCCACAATTTATGTCCATAGTTGCCAAAATGCAAAACAGAAAATCACTCTTCTGTAAATGTCTGAAATAACTACACACAAATATCTAGAATAACTGTACAAATCTACTTTTCACAAAAACAGACATTATGTGACTCGCTTCCCACTTTATAAACAGAAAATCAAGACACATTGAAAAAAGAAAAATTGTCCTGATAAAATATTATCTGTTTACAAATTATGGAAAAGAAATACAGTATTTAAAAACTGTCATTGGGTAAACTTTTTCTTTTATATCTATAGACTTTCAATTTTAATGAAGAAGATGTAATAAGATGGAATACAGAGTGCATACTGTAAGCCAAAAGAAGTCATGAATTTCTAGATGTCTGATACGATAGTTTTCATAAGCTAAATGAGACACCAGTAATCCCAGGATGAAATTCACCTAGGCATTGTTTATGCTAAGGTTCTTCGAGCTTGCCAAAACTTTTCACAGTTCTCTGTTAGCAAAGAGAACATTTCCACAGATGAGTTAAATTCTCAGAAGGCTATTTTAATTATTTTATGGATTGAAAATTCGATGATGAATATATTTTAAAGTTTTCTTAGTGACTTCCTAAGCTTTGGGGAAGGAAGTGTGTTAAGGAATTTGTGAGCCTCAGGACTAAGAAAACTTTTTTAAAAAGTCACCATGTGTTTGTTAATAAGCAACAATATCAGAGAATCATAAAAATATCAAAAAATGGATTCCAAATTTACAATGAATAATGAAATTAAAGAGTAACAACTTCGATTCAGTGTAATTGGGCTCGATTAATTTTTTCTTCTTTCATTCTTAGCGTATGTGGACATACCACACAAGGGTAAACTACAGCACTGGGCTCAAAAGCTACATTTTACCAGTCACCCTAAGCTGCTGTTATTACTATTAAGTGACGGCCCATGTTTTGCACCTTATGGATAAAAACTCGCTCAAAACTTACAGACAAAGGGGAGAAGCAGCAGTCGTTAACCAGGCAGGAAGAAAGGTTCTCTGTGTAACGGCCTTCTTGCTGCCCCCTCCGCTTTGTCACCAACAATGTGATAATAACTCCTACATGCCACCAACATTATATCTTTAAAATTAAACTATAATGAAAGGTAATTATTTTTCTGAAGCTAAATATAAGGTAACACTACACAGAAATTTGGACATACTTCAAAGCAACAAAATGCAAGCAATGGATATGAAACTAGGAAATCTGGAATCAAGTTCCCACCCACCTCTTGCTATCTACATACAATTAATTCCAAATCGCCATGCAAAAAAATTACAACTATACTCAAGGATTTGTCTACTGTTTTCCAAGATTTCCAAACATTTTTAAAATCTATTTTATTTGGGAAAAACAGATAAATATCCATTTAAAATTTAAAGATGTTCCTTTATTTAGGGAGAGTAGATACTTCAGAATAGAGAAGCTTCACACCTAGTTAAGGCATTCCAGGGGTGTAGCTAGAGAAGTTTGGTGGATAGGAAAAGGGAAAGTAACATCAAATATAAAACAAATCTTTAAGCAAAAACAAGCAAGCTTCCTTCAAAATGAAGACAGGCAATATCCTATCTTCCCTAGTTAATACCTGTTACTGAAGAATCTATCATTGATGTTTTTAGAGATTCCTTTACAGCCTTTATTTTATCCAGAAATGTCAGATAATCAGTTGAATACCGTTTGGCTGACCGTGCTGCATCATCAAATTCAGTTAGATAGTCCTTTTCATAACGTCTTGCAGAATCTGAAACTTGTTCTGGTGACATAACCTCTTCCATAAGTGGTTCTTCATCGTCTGACTTGAGGCTTGAAGAACTCTGGTCATTCTCCTCCTTAATGTGTGTTTCCTGGCCACCACCAGATGGTTCTAGTTCCAGTTCATTGTCTTCAGTTTGATCTGACTCTGGAAGCTCTTCTGACGTAACTGGAATATTGATAGTCTCATGAGCATTATCACTTTCTTCTGCTCCATCAGGAACATCCTGAGCATGAAATTCTTCCTGTTCAGACATCTTCCTGAATTGAGAAAAATACAGTCACTATATATAAAAACTTCTATACCAAATATCAAATTCATTGCTGTTATACAGTAATGTTTATCATATACTAAAACGTTTATTAATTTTTTCAAAAAACAATGAGTATCTTAATAATGGCATCAGGTAAAACATCAGTGAATTTTTAACAAAAACACCACCAAAAGTAAAAATGTATATCAAACAGAGAAACTCCAAGAACAATTAATTTGAAATAAATCTTCATTGAAGAATATATTAGAAAATATTTTGAAATATATTGTCATCTCTTCCTTATTGAATAATCAATGTTTGTGAAAGGACTTTTTGAATAATTTTTTCCTAAATACAAAACTCACATAGGATTTATGCTCTGGCATTACAATTGGTTAGACACTCCAAGAAACCTACCAACTCGCAGGGCAACTATATCCTGGGTAGCACATTCTTGGTGGCAGCTTTGATCTCACAAGTTGTGGCAGAGGTCTCCAACGACCTCTATCCCCTCCCAAAAGAAACATATCAACAAGTAAGTATGGATTGATCCTGGAGCTGACTAGGGCCTGAGCTACTGCAACCAGGAGTTTTGGCTTGGAAAACCATTTAACAGCATCCAGGAGCTTGGGCCAGGGTCGGAGGAGGGCAGCCCGGACAGAGCCAAGCTGCATAGACAAGAGCTGGTTCAGACTAGTGAGGAACCAGTCAGCAGTGAGCCTATTTATAGAAGCTGGCAGTCAGGAAGAAGGGACAGAGGAGGTGACCTAGAGGCTAATTTCTGTGGCATCCAGCAGAGGGAAGATGAAAATTTGGCACAGTGGTGAGATGGGAAGCCTGTGATTGGGGGTTCCATTTTAAGCACAAATCCTTATGGGGAAAAGAACTGACCTCAGTCAGTGAAGATGTCTGGCTACTAAATGACAAATTAAAAAAAAAACAAACAAAACACACAAATATCTGGAATAAAAGTATATTCATTGTTGAATATATTCATTGGATTAAACAATGAATCCAATGAATATAGCATTAGAGTTGAAGAGGGAATTAACTGGAAGATAAATAAAGAGATTTTATACGAAGTGCTGCAAAGAGATAAGTATAAAAAAATATGAGAGTTTAGGGGCCACGGAAAAAAGAAAGTATAGTATATTTTTCTGCTAAGCATATATATTGTTGTGAGCTAAGAACGGTTTTATATTGCTAAAATACAAAACAAAGAATATGCAGAGACTACATGTGGCCTGCGAAGCCTTTTGCAGAAAGTTTGCCAGGCCCTAATCTAGCACAAGTCAAATTGGAGTCCTAGAAAAAAAACAGAAAGATGGAAAAAAAAGGAAATATGTTAAAAATTAATGGCTGAGAATTTTTCAAAATGATGAAATATATAGATCTACAGATCCAAGAAGCACAACATAAATATATACCTAACAAGATAAAGAAAAATAATTCATAGCCACAAACATTGTAATTAAATTACAGAATAACAAAGGCAAAGAGAAGGTCCAGAAAACAAACAGTGATAATATAGAGGACATATCATCTACTGTCTTGAATCATACTAATTTGCTAACATTAATAAAAAGGAAAGAAAAGTAAAATCACTGCAGTTTCCTCATCAAAAAAAAAAAAAAAACAACAACCAGAAACCAATGCAACAATGTACTAATTAAAATAAGATAGCTATCAACCTAGAATTGTGTACCCCCAAAAATTATCTCCCCAGAGAGAAAACAGGTACATTTACAAATAAGTTTCCACGAAGATATCTGCTCTAAAAAAACTTCTATCTGAAGGATACACTTGAAAAAGGAGGAAAATGGACCCAATGGGAGTACAAAGTTCAGGAAGGAAAGATGAGCAAATAAATAAAAAACATATAGGTAAACCCAAACAGATATTGTGAACACAAAACAATAGTAAAGACTGGAAATGTTAGACAATAAAATATGGTACTGGGAAGGAAAAGATGAGAATAAACTGTTCTTGAATCCTTATACTATTTAAAAATTGAGGGATATGATATTATTAATCATAGATATTGTTAAATTAAATATAAAGGTTAAATTTCCAGTACAAGAAATAACTAAAGTTTAAAAATTTCAAAACAGCAAAAAGGAAAAATGTAAAATAAGATAAAACTGAACAGAAACGCAGTTTTTTAAAAATTCAACAAACCTCTTTAGGATCTCACCCACTTAAAATAAAATCTTCTTTTTGGTTATTCTCTCCCATAACATAGCTTAATGGCCTGATTAGAAAGAGAGTATCTAAACAAACCGTAACTCCTAGGAGCATACGCATCTGCCCATTTTGGACAGTCTGATGAGGTAAAGCTCCTGTTATTGTCCAGTGGCTCATCTTCCCCTAAAATGGCCAAGGTGGCAGCTTCTAAGTCAGCAACAGCAACAAAATCAAGAACTGCTCCTCAAAAAACACAACCAAAATAATAAAAAGAGAAACCATAGACTGGGAGATTTTTTTTTTATTTTTTTAAAATTCTTTTTGCAAAACTCCTATCTGCTAAAGAACTTCTATCCAAAATACATGGAGAACTCTCAAATAAGAAAATAATAAGAAAACTCAGTAAGAAAATAATAGTAGTAAAAAATAAAAGAGTAAACAATTAAATAGACATATCACCAAAGAATATATACGGAAGACAAATAAGCAGGGCCAGGACTAGGCTGAGGCTAATGTAGTACCTGCACTGCTCTTATACTTGCACCTGAGCCTGAGAATAGATGCCTCCTAAAATTTTGGACCTAGTTGCCTCAGTTACCTCATTCTGCTTCTGGCCCTGAGTCTAAGCCCATGAAAAGATGCTCAATGTGATTAGTCATTGGATAAATGCAACTTAAAATCACAATGAAAATTCACTACACACCTATTACAGTAGTTAATATGTTTGATTGTTTTGTTTTGTTTTTTAGCCCGACAATATCAAGGGCTAGTGAGTATGAAGACAAGTGGCTTTTATAACTTGATGGTGAAAATGCACATTGGTACAACAGTTGGGATACTTCTGTCAGCTTTCTTATAAAAGTAAACACATACTTACCATATGACTCAGCAATCTATGTCCTTTACCCGAGTGGAATGAAAAGCTACATCTGCACAAAAGTTGTACACAGATGTTTATAAAGGATTTATTTTTAATCAGCAAAGACTGGAAACAACACAAATGCCCCTTAGCTGATGAATGGATACACATACTGTGATAAATTCATAAATGGAATACTAATTATCAATAAAAAGGAATAAACTATTGATACACACAACAATATGGATGAACCTTGAATTATGCTAAGCAAGAAGCCAATTCGAAAGGCTACATACTCTATGATTTACTTAAGTGAAAAGCAAAGCTCATGGTTCACAACCTCAAGAGTTCCCCAGGTAAAATCCAAAAGTGCAATAGACAGAAAAGAGGCAAACCACACCAGCTGGTATGGTAGGTGGCAGGGTTTTCTTTTAATTGATTTTTTTTTTTTTGAGAGTAAGAGAGTGCAAGAAACTTCGATTTGTTGTTTCACTTCTTTTATACATTCATTGGTTACTTCTTCCCTGTATGCCCTGTTGGGGGATGAAATCCACAACCTTGGTGTGTATCAGGATAATGCTCTTAATCAACTGAGCTACTGGGCCTGGGAGGTAGGTGGCAGTTTTAATAAGCAAGAGAACTTTCATAGGAGGCTTGTCTTGGGCAGCTGCAAAGAGGAGTAGCTCTCTGTGATCACCCACCAAATTTAAGAGTTTGTATAGAGGCCTTAATCCAGCTGAGTCACGTATACAGACCAGTTGGTCTCAACTACACATTACTCTCTAAAGGCTTCTTCCTTGAAGCAGCTCCTAGTACAGTAAAGGGACCAGTGGGCAGAAACTTCCAAGGATAGTGCAGGGGGTAGTGCCCTTTCAAGTTCAAGGGTCAATCCATAGTCACGGTCCTCTTGATGACCTCCTACAAAAGCACAGACCAGTATGCACAATTTTAAACGTACAACTAAATAGTACCTCTAGTAGGTGAACTGCAGGATCGGGCAGTTTGGGGCAGGGGGAATGGGTGGAAGATAGGTTTTCACTGTTTATTCTTTTTACTGTTTAAACGTTTTTATCATTTTTATGTATTATCTATTCAAAAGTAAGTATTTTAATCTTAAAAATTGTTTTAAAAGAAAAAGCAGTCTCTATTACGACTGCATACAAAAAAAAAAAAAAAAGTCCCCCTTTCACCTACAAGGCATGATAGATCTAGAATGTAAGTGTAAGTAGTAAGGCAGGAATCCAGTTTTGATTTCTACCAAACAGATTTGAGTTTTAAAGTTTTTTAAAAGGCACAGCAAAACTACGAGTGGAAAAGAGTGAGAATGCCAGTGAGGACGGCCTGTACGGTCTCTATTTACTAGAGACTGAAAATGATCACCATGGGTAGCTAAATGTTACATCTTGCTTCTACACTATTACCGTGAAAAGCACTAGGGGTGGGAGAAGAGGTACACCTCCTGGCTAGATGCTGCTGCTTCCGAATCCCAAATCACAGATGCGGACCCAGAAAACGAACCAAAGAAAGAAAGGTTGCTTTGCACAGTTTTTAAACTAAGTAAAGAAAAGGGTGGAACATTCCTGACCGGCCCATCAGTCCCCGGAACCCGTCGGCACAAGATCCCGGCAGGGAGTGCTCGGAGTCCAGCGCCGGTAGAGTCCCTGACTGATGGGCGGTCTAAGGGTTGGGTCAGGAGAGGGCAGACAAAATCTGTCCTCCTACCTAAGATGCTCAGCTACTCGGGTCGAGGTGGTTCCTCAGGCTCCTAGAAGCAGCGACCGAAACCGGATTTTGTTGTCCGCAGTATCCTAGCAACGACCCTAGCTCCACCTCCTCCGCACAGCTCCCAAGAGAAGAGGAGCTTCTCGAGCTGGAAAAGATGGCAGGGGAGGGGCGCAGCGGAGTCAGGGGACGAGGGGCGGGACGCGGGCGGGGGGCGGGGCGATAGCGGGGAGGCGGG